TGTATCGGTTCATGAGTTATACAGACACACAGACACACACGCACACACACACGCGCACACGCACACGCACACACACACACACACACACACACACACACACACACACACACACACACACACACACACACACACACGCACACGCACACACACACATAGACATCATCGCAAAAATAGTCAAAACGGATTCAGGGGACCTCAAAACGTAAAAATCAGTCGAAAACTCGAGGTCAAAAAAAATCATGATTCCTCTACTTTCCTTATATCTGTATACAGTTAGGAAAGTAAAAATGAATCATTTTAGGTTAACTGAGACTCTGCTGTAGAATCCGTATATAATGTATAGCGGAGTCTCAATAAACCTGAAAACTAGCAAGGCTGGAGGCCCAGTCACACTCTATAGATATAGCGCTAGATATAGTGTATATTAGGAACATATCTTATAGTACCTTAATATACAAAGAACCAGTTTCATTAAAAAATATTTATTTATTTTTGTGTACCTATTACAAACTTGTATACTGCCCCATTTAGTATCTTTAAACCTGAATATATATATTTTTTTTATTTGAAATTTTGGGAAACTAAACCAAGGAATGTACACTACCTTTTTAATTATATTAGGTGACGTAATCATTAAAAATGGCAGACGGGAGCCGTTATGGCAAGTGATATATTATTTGAAACCCTTTCCAATGATATCAATATAACTAAAATATTTTTTCTTTTTACTCATAATGAATTCTTTGTTTTAAATGTTCAATGCTATCAACTGGTGTACCACAAATATTTAACCTTTGGCACTGTATTATTCTCGTTTAAAATCAAAGATTTTTATGAATTCATATCTCATGACGGATCAAAAAATAAATAGGAGGTGGAGGGACTTTAGATCCGCATTGTATAATCGAGAGCAGAGGCTATGTGAACCTGAAAATTAACACAGCTGGGGGCCTAGTCGTACCGTATACGTCTTCAAAAATCTAAACGCGGACCATATAAGCGAAATCCATTAGGGACGAACTTAAGTTGGAGTGAGGTGGAAGTCGTACATACCGTGAGTCAGGCCATTGAATAGGTAGTGCGCTGCACAGCTCATATCGCAATGAGTCTCAAGGATGTAAGCATACTTATATTTATTTAAATCTCTATATTCCACACGAAAAGTTCGAAATGGTATATTTTAATTTTGGATGCATGAAAATGAATAATCCACAATACGACACTTCAGTGGAAAGTCAATTTTAATGATTTATAGGACAACGTAACAAAACTTAATTCGAAGGAACATGAACTTAAATAGATTGTTGCCATTAAGGTTAAGAATAAATAAATGTAATGAAAATCCCAATAAACCAAATTAACAAAATTAGGCTGCACATTAAATTACTATTATAATAAGCTTTCAAATGAGCTGTCACACTTAACAATACGTACCACTTTTTTATCATGCTAAAGGGCGCTAAAATCAAAAGTAACACTATAAACAGTCACATTTCTAAAAATTATTCATTAAATTACATTTGCGTTGATGTGTAATACTTAGTACGTTTTCTATTTAAATTGTATTGGTTAGTAGTGGGAAGGAGGAGAGGGGAATGTTGTGTGTCAGTTTAGGATGTGATAAAAATGTGCCAGCCTTAGAATAAAAATCGACCTAATTTAAACAATTCTTTGTATTAATTTGAAGCAAGTGGTGATACAATTGAAATCAGCATAATAAAAGGAAGCTTAAAAATTTGTATGTTATGTTGGGAATGGGGTGCTAAAACACTACGACCTAAAATATTTATTGTACCCCTTTTGTCGCTAATGCAGCAAGGAAATGTCGCAATGCCTACAACGATCCTTCCAATCATATCTTCCTTGAGTGGCTTCAAGTTAGGTAAATATCACTCTTCTATTTAATATGCTCTTAGGTATAGTGTCCTTGGATTTTGGAGTGCTACACATTGTCAGAATGTGAATGGAGGTTTTGTCTTCCTCTTCACAGAATCTGCTCACTATATTCTACTACTCTTAGTTTACTTAAGGTGTCCTTTTAGTGGGCAATGCCCAGTAAGGATCCCTGATACAATACGTAACTTGTTCTTGTAAAATTGGTAAAAATATAGGGTGTTCTATTTATAAAATACTGTCATTGACGTCATTACAAGATGATTACAAGATATATTAAATTATGAGAAAATAAACTAAATTAAAATAAAAAGTTTACTTATTTTATTTTACGTCTTGGTCATATATCACATTTGAGTTGGAATTTTCTTTTTATTTACTTTTATAATAATGCCTAAATATACGTACTAATCAAGGTGCTAACCTTATTATTTAAATAATATCAACCAAAAAATTATTAAACATTTTCTAAAACAAAAATGTTTATTGTGGAATTTTATTTTCTACGGCGCTCTGTAGTACTTGTCGCGTTCAAGATCGAAATTGATACATTTTAATTTTTAAAATGACTCGAGTCGAAAGACAAAATCAGCGAGCCTCCTAGTACGTATATATAATCAACTGCAACGTTGCCAAACCAAAAGCGCGCAGCGAATAGCTTAAGGCGCCCAGTTGACATGTAACAATAAACATCTTATACACAGCGAAATGTATATTAGCAGCGCACCAAGCGGCGAACGCCTGAACTAATATTTTATACAGGATCAAAAAACGGCTCAAATGGGCGTCCTCGAGATTTTTGTGTTAATGGGTGTTTTAGGGTGTCTACATCATCTGGAACAATTTTCAATGGGTTGTCACTGGGGATCCGTATATCGGAAGCCCAGTAACAGCGGAGTCTCAGTGAACCTGAAATTTAACATGGGGGGAGGCTCAGTAATACTTTGTAGATATATATATATATATATATATATATATATATATATATATATATATATATATATATAAGATAAATTAACTGAAGTTTTATTAGTAAAGAATTAATACTAGAATTTTAATGTAATTTACAGAAAATAGCTAGGTATGTATTTGTTTTTAAATAATTTGATAATTTATAAAAAAAGGGAGTAAAAATGGAATGACCAGTGGCCAGTAGGTCAGTCAATACAAAGTATTATATATTTCTATTATAACATAACTAAAATACCTACATCTTTTAATCATAAGGACATAAGTTAAAAACCATTTTAATATATGCATTATAATGAAGTAATAATAACTTAAAGAGACGAGGTCTTAAAGTAATAGCTGGTAAAGCATGTTTTTTAAACGTTTCCTCATTGCTGCTAGAATGAAATGTGCTCTAAAAACGGCATTTATAGCAGTCAGTGTTCAGTCTTAGGATCTCTTCCTAAAGTCCTCATCCAAGCTGCATACATATTAAAAAATAATTAAAAAAAAAACATATTATATACCTATATAGTTTTCGGTTCTGGGTGCCCTAAAAGAGGACACTTAGCCGACAATTTGGCTCAGATAGCTAAAACCCAAAAGTCACACCCCGAACCAGGACGTATTGCTATCCTTTTAAGTAAAAATGAAGTCGTCTAACTTTACACCAAAAAAACCATACACTTTTTCCCATTGTTGCAAGCACCCGATGACGATTAGGTAGATATCAACTAGAAGCATGTACTTAATGGTTATAAAGCTTATTTTAACACAAAAAGAATAAAGCACTAGTCGAAAAGCAGCAATCAAATATAAATAGACCAAATATTAAAATTCAAATTAAAAACTATATAAAAGACAACCATAACTACTTTTACTATTTTCAATTGACTAATATTTGTTTTTCAAATATTTTTAACTTTTTATTATTTGTAAACTTTGTTCATTTTACAATTTATTTCACCCCACATTTGATGAAACTTGTTTTGTAGTATTCCCTAGTGGATGGAGAGTATGGTGAGTTTTCTCTTTTTTACTATTTTATATATCGTTTGCTCTAAGTGTTAACACACCTTACACCACATATTCTCCTTTCCACTAGGCGAGCCTGAAGATGAAGTGATGACACTTCGAAACCGGTCGCACTCAATTTTTTGTTAAATAATTAAACATTGACTTTCCTTGTGAGATATAAAGGACTTTTTCTCCCCCTTCACCTTAAAAAAATAATATTTACAGTTGACAGCTGTCAACTAGCTGTCAAACAACAAGCAATAATCAAAATTAATAAAATCCACATGTAAATATCTGTTTTTAAGGTTGGTAAGTTCAAAACCAATGTTAATAACTCGATATTGATAGTCGACAGCTGTTAACTAACTGTCAAATGGTATGTGACAATCAAAATTGACAAAATTCAGGAGTAAATAGATGTCTTTGCTGAGGATATTGACAGTTAACAGCGGTCAACTCTCAATATCGAGTTGTAAACATCAGTTTTGAACTCAGCTGCCTGAAAAACATATATTTACATATGAATTTTATTAATTTGGATTATCACATGTTGTTTGGCAGTTAGTTGACGGCTGTCAACTGTCAATATCGAGTTGTTAACATCAGTTTTAAACTAACCAACCTCAAAAACAGATATTTACTTGTGGATTTTATCAATTTTACTTATTGCTTGTTTTTTTGACAGCTATTTGACAGCTGTCAACTGTCAATATTAATATATTAGCATTGCATTTGAATGCAGCGACCTTAAAAACATAAGAAGGTACTTCTTTTTTAACGCAGCAAAAACTAAACTTTCGAGGAGATTGCCTTTTTAAGTAGTAAATAATGGTCAATCTGTGGAGCTTTGGAGCTCCGTTGGAGCCAAAATAAGCAAAATTGAGCTTTGTGCCCATTGAGACTTTTGCTCGGGATGCCAAAAAAAACAACATATCCAAATTTCATCGAATTTGAGCGGGAGCCAAATTCCTTAAGATTTGTGCGGGGTTCTTTGAAAGCATTTATATCGAGTACTAAAAATTGAAATTTATTGTCCAAAAATCTTCTCGAGAGTCGCTACCGTCTGATTTAAAGTATATTCTAATGGATGTTTGCGTAAAATAAAATTTATATATTTCTCGTGAGCAGAAGTACTTAAATTTCTAAGCTGTAACCGAACTCTTAGCTGCGTCGTTTAACTTAGCTCCGTCTATAAGGAATAAATCTTCATACCTTCTAAACCACGAATAGAAAGTAACGTTCTTGTCCAAATTTGGTACAAACCCCATTAGGTTTCTAGCTAAAGATTCGATAATTAACTCTATGTTATCCATAGTGGAGCTGGGCCCCGAAACAACATTATCAATTTTTTTTCGTTGCTAAAATAATATTATCTTCATCACCACTGTTGACTAGTGAATGAATGATACATTAATTACAGAAAATACTTTAATATTTTACAATAGTTGACAACTCAGAAAACTAGCAAAATGGCTGACCTGACGTTCTCCATATATCAATATTAATTAACTTGATGTCTACAGGACAAGCATGTACTCCATGTAGCATAAATTAAATATACAGGTACAAATAGGAATACATTCATTATTTCGTAACTCAACTCATCTATTTTTAAACTCTACTGAACCTTACTGAAAACGTGATCAATTTTAGGGCCCCTTAATTTTCACTATTCATACCTACTAATATACAGGGTAAATCCTAAATGTACATAGAAGTTGTTAAAATAAAAATACTTAAAAAAAAAACCTTTCGTATGATGTATCAAAAGAACCACGTGTGAAGATAAAAATCAACGGGTTCTTGCATTTTTTTCAATCAACAATGAATATATTCCTTTCATTTGCAACATACTGTATACTGTTATATTATGTATATTCGATTTGTAGGCGCGAACGTTTGTCTCATTGATTACATAGATAGATTTTTTTTATGAAAAATATTATGTAAAACACATTTGAATTAACCTAACCTTGAGTAATAGCGTATAATTTTAACCATCACATAGCTCTAGAAACTCTAGATACTTCTTGTTTTTGAAACGAAATTATTATTTTAATTCAGTAACTGTAAAAAAAGAATGAGTGGGAGGAATACACCGAAATACTCACAGAGTGTAAATATAAGAGGGATTCATGGAGAACATTCTGTCAAGAAATTGAAAATTCAACTGAAGGATGCAGACTCCATTGCATTCTAGCAAAAGATCCAATAAACCCTGTGGGTACTTTAAAAACCCAAGTAGGGGACTGCACTAAATCTAGAATGAAAACATTAGAACTACTTCTCAAAACTTTTTTCCTTAATTGCGCAACAAACTCTAAAAATCTGATGTGTCCAACACATGACTTTCCTATCTAGTTATTACGTAAAAACAAAAAAAATCAGAATTTTGCACATTTTGTCAAATTTCTCGAATACGGACCATTTCAGGAAATTTTTACATAAAACAAAAATTACAGATAATAATATTAGAAGTAACTTTTATTTGAACAATTTTCCTCTCCAAACATAAATAACAGATATATTCCATAAAATATAAAAACGGCCTCCCATAAAGTACCCCCCCCCCCCCCAGATGTTCCGACTTTGTCCAAAATCTGATCATTTCACGTCAGGCCGAAATAAACCTTAAGTTTAAAATTTAATGTTTTTTTCTTTATCCGTTTTTGAGTTTTCTTCCAAATTCGAAATTTACACATTTTCTCAAATATCTCGAATACGGTCCATTTTAGAGAAATTATGTAGAGAATAAAAATTATAGAGAATTATATTACAAACAACTTTTATTTGAACAATTTTTATAAAAAAATATTTTTTTTACATTTTGTCAAATTTCTCGAATACGGACCATTTTAGGAAAATTTTGTATAGAACAAAAATTATAGATAATAATATTAGAAGTAACTTTTATTTAAAGAATTTTCTTCTCCAAACGTAAATAACAGATATATTCCATAAAATATAAAAATGACCACCTATAAAGTACCCCCCCAAATGTTCCGACTCTGCCCAAAATCTAATCAGCTCATTAGACGCTGAAACAAAGCTTAAGTTTAAAATTTGGTGTTTTTCTGTGTATCGGTTCATGAGTTATGCGTTATACAGACACACACACACACACAGACATCATCGCGAAAATAGTCAAAACGGATTCAGGGGACCTCAAAACGTAAAAATCCGTCGAAAACTCGAGGTCGAAAAAAATCATGATTCCTATACTTTCCTTATATCTGTATACAGATAGGAAAGTAAAAAGGGGTTTCCAGCCAAGAGTAGGAAACTGCAAAACGTCTAGTCACAACAAAGAAAGTAACATGAGCAATACACACATTTAATCCATACAAATCACTGGACAATAGAAACACTGGCCTCGCATATTTATAGGCTATACAGGGCAAGTTTGGTGCATAAATATGTACCAAATTCCTGGAACCAAAGCAGTCTTTTTTATTCCTAAACAAGGGCGTCTAAGATATGTCGTAGAAAAAGGCCTACAGACCTATAACTCTGACGCCATTTGTATTGAAAGGATTGGAAAAACTGATTGATCAGCATATTCGGTAAAACACTCTGATAGAGAGGCCATTTTATACAAACCAGCATGCCTATTAATCACGAAAATCTTGTAACCAATATAGAGGGGGACTCAGTAACCAGGAAATAGTTCCAAGAGTATTTCTTGACACAGAAGGAGCTTTTGATAGTACCTCCTTTAAATCAATGGTAGCTGCCGCTCGCAAACATAGAATAGAGGACACCATCTGCTGGTGGATAGAAGATATATTACGTGGATAGCAAGTAAAGGCACAAATATTCAGTAAAACCATGCAGATGAATATCTACAGGGAATGCCACAGAGTGAGTCCTTTGTCCTCTATTGTGGAACCTAGTAGCAGTTGAAATGCTGAAAATACTGAACAATCAAGGGATGTAACCACAGACTTCGAACTCATGCGAAGAGTTTTAAGGCTGATAGAAATGTGGTGCGTAAGGGAAAACCTTTTGGTAAACCTTTACTCAGAAAACAAGATTGGAGGTCTTGAAACTCCGACTATATTTGGAGAAAGGCTAAACTGAACGAACCAAGTAAAATATCTGGGTTTAATTCTAGATAGCAAGCTAACTTGGAACCAACACTTACAAAAAGTGACCAATAAATGTAAAACGTATATCATTATAGGGAGACGGAAAAACATGGGGATTAAAACAAAAAATGGTTGACTGGCTATATGTGGCAATAACAACATCCATGATAACTTAGGGAGCGGTTGTTTGGTGGGCCAAGAGTAAACCAGAAAACAACCTTCAATTCCCTCTCAGGAGTTCAGAAGCTGGTATGCCTTTGTATTACAGGAGCACTGAGAAGTACACCCTCAGCCTCAGCCCATTGACCTATTCATAAAGGAGTAGGCCAGAATAAGTGCATACAGGCTGGACATCTCCAACAACTGGAATCCACTGAGACATATAAAACATACCAGAATAACACAAGTAAATAATCCTATATTAAACATGGGTCTAGATCATAGCAGCTGGAACGAGGTAAATAAGGAGATAGACAAATGCTTAGCGATCTCCTATGGCATAAGGACGAATATAAATCTAACAAGGCAACTGGCTGTAGCGTACATGGAGTAAATCCAAATGCAACATATCGGGTCGGTGGTGTAGCAGTCTCACGCGCTTACATTCATTTATAGGCAAGTTTGTTTTCAGAGACAGACCATGTGGATTTTTAATTAAATTGCATAGTTTGGTATAGGATTTGATGTGCCGTATTAATGGAAATTTAGTTTCTGTTAATATGACATGCAGATTATAAAATAGCCATGCATTACCATCTCAATGATGGTGGGTGATGTTTTCCGGGTTTTTCTCACCTGTAAGTCAAATTGCACCATCAATCATCTTTAAGTCGCCCCGGAGCGGCACGGCAAATAATAATAATAGCCGTCCCTTTCTCCGCACAAGCTCAGCTTTTGGGGTTAAAATTCACTCGTAAGGGAGTGAATTAGGAAGAGTATTATTATTATTGAATTATTATTATTATTATCGAATTGTGTACGAGAATTTAAGAAAAGTACAAAAAACCATTTTAATCCTCTTAGATAGCCAAACAGTCTTAAAGGCCCTTGATTCATACAGAATGAAGTCAAAGCTGGTCTGGAACTGCCTTGGAATACTAAATGATCTGGAAACCCACAATAAGGTAAAACTAGCGTGAATAAGAGGGCACAAAGGTATTCAAGGAAATGAACTAGCTTAAAAGGGATCAGAACTATCATTCACAGGACCAGAACCTGTATTTGGGATAAGCAAAGCCTCTGTTTGATAGGCAGTAAACAGATAAATAACCTCAAAACAACAAATTCGCCTAAAACAGATAAAAGAGCATATAATCAGTAAGGGAATCAAACCCACGCATGGTTACTGAGGTACTACAACTCGCAAGACTTCAGATATTTACCATTGTGGGATTACTAACGGGGCATAGCTTGCTGGAACACCTTCATGTGATAGGATTTCACAATGATCCCACTACGTGCAGACTCTGCATGGAAGAGGAAGAAAACTCATACCACGTGATCTTCGAATGCGAAGCTCCTGCTAGGCAACGACTTACCCTTTTCGGCCTAACATAAGCAAAAGTGCGTGTGAAACTACAGAGAACCAGCACTAGAACAAGCAGGAAAGAAACAAATTTAGTGATGTCATTAATACGATCCAATCGCGTTGTAACTTTCGCCAGGCCATATACATATAAAGCTTACAGTATTCTTTAAATTACTAAAATCATATACAAAATAACAGGAAACCTCCTGTATATTTTATAGGCTATTATCAAGTTGGTTAGTTAGTTAGTTAGTTAGTTAACAGTTCAGTTGCAATAAACTCTCAGGATTAATAATAAAGTATAAATTTTACTCCTATTAACTTAATATACGATTGTTGTATACAATAGACTTATTGTATTATAATTGGATCGCTTGAGCCAGTTTTGACCAGTCCGGTACTGCTATATTCACTTAAGTATCTCTCTGCTTTATTTGGGTCTTTTACGGTCTCCATCTTTGCCGTTACCAAGAATATTCTATCAGATAAGTCATTAATATATATTATGTGCCCATATAAAGGCATGGCTAGATTCAGGTTTCTAAAACTAGGTTAGGAAAATCCAACAGTATGTAAATGAAGCTGTAACATTAAAAATATAAGCAAAAAAATAAAAAACGTGTTTCCTATTTACTAATACTAAATACCGAGTAAAAAAAAACAACAAAACATTTTAAATTTCATCGAACTCGTATTAACAAAAACCATCCAAAAACCTTGACAAATTAAATCCACGATATAGACTAACCCGTTTTTACGGCTAATAACCCATTAAAAATAAAAATAAAACCTTTAACCATCGAACGTAAAAACACGCTCTCTTTCAAATCGTGAATTCACGACCAGTAAATCTCTTTTAGGAAAACGAAAGTCTTCTTCAGAATGCGCACCTAGGAAAGTTCAATGTCATGTAACACTGGCGCCCAACCAGGAGGGCAAACGGGATGTGTAGGTACCATAGATATAGGTACATATATAAAGAATACAGATAGACGTGTCTACCTAATTGCCTGCTCTAAGAATAAGTCGCTCATACATGATTTAATTATTGATGTTTTAATTAATTTTCATAAATTACCTGTTTTTTTTAAAATACTTTATTTTATTTTACTTTTATTTCCTTATAAAAATTTTCATTAAATATACCCATTTTAATTCATTATAATTCATTATAAATTAATTTTCTATAAACGTGACAAGGGTAATATTTATGGTTATTGATAATTATTGACGTAGTAATAATATAGTATTTTAGTTTTCGTTAGCGATTATGTTTTTAATTATTTCCTGGTCTAAAATTTTAATTAGATATAAAATGATATTTTTGGATAATTATAGTCAAGTTTTTCCAATTTTGTTGGAAATTGGATTATCTAATGCTTAAACTTTTGTTCCAGAGGTAAGTTTATATTATAGGTTAGAATTAAAAGCATAGGCGTTCCAGTGTCATACTGAAAATTAACATTCATTTAAAATTATATATTATTTAATAATTATTTTAATTTTTTAAAGTAAGGTAAAACCCCCAGTCGTTGGCACCTCAAGAACATGTTTCTAAAAATAATTAAAAATTTCAATTTGTTTTTAAAATCTATTTAGCATTATTTGTTAATATTTATAGTATATATTTTGATAGTAGTAGCAATAAAATTCGCCCAATTTTAACAAATAACGTTATGTTAAAGATTTAAAAAAAAACATGGCACTAAAGAAATAAAATGGTAAATGGTAGTTGTAGCTGTTTTATGGGCATTTTCTAATGTTTATAATCCTTTCAAACAAATAAAATACAAAAAATACAGAAATATACAAAAAGAACATTTTCAAAACATTTTAAAGAGCATTTCCAATTGATAAAAACATTTTACGAAATTAGTTTGACGGTACAAACACCACATCTATTAAACTCCTTGACTATTCCACGTTTTTTTAAGCAGACCATGTGTTACATTCTTGGCATTTCATTCCAATTTTATTTAAAGTTATATTTGTCACACATGAAAAACATAAACCAGTTCTTTTTATGACATTATTTTTTACTTTATCGGTAGTTTCTGTTTTACACATTTGTTCTGAATTAGAATGGTTTTTTGCGATTTTACTTGCTTCTGCAGGTGCATCTACAAACTCAGTGTCAGCAGTTTTACTTCTTTCAGCAGTAACATCTACACAAGCAGTGTTGACAATGTTACTTGCTTTAGCAGGGGCATCTATACAGTCAGTGTCGGCAGTTTTACTTTTTTTTTCCTCGGTTAGGATATTTTTCATCTGCATTACTTTTTTTTGTTTGTTTAGGCTTAGCTTGTTTCTCCAATTTCTGCTTTAGTCTCTTTTGTATGTTTTCTTCTTTTTGATGTTCTAGTTCTTCTTTCTCTTTCTTCCATTCTTCCACTTCATTTTTATAAGCGCTAGAAAAGATAACGAAAGACTTCTTCTTATTTAATTTTTGTTTTTTCTTTGAGGCGTTTTCGCTTTTGGAAGGAAATCTTCATAATTTAATGCTCTTGCTTCTTCTATTATTTCTGACCCGCAACTATTAAGGCCAGATTCCATCGTTTGCTTACTACTCATATTTTCTAAAATAAACGTAATATACCTCATAAAGTACAATTAAGATAATGACAATAAAATACCTCGAATATTTTCCAAATTTTTATTTGTATTTTGGGGATTCAATTTCTTCTTCTAAAAATATTTGCTTTTTAGTATTGGTATCGTTATAAGACATGTTGAAATCAATCATGCCGTCATCATTATTTTGAGTGGCACTAGAAGAAACTGTAGGATTGTTTTTAAAATATTTGTAAATTTTTTAAGGATATTACAGCTTTCGCACTTGTGCTAAACTAAGTCATTCTCCAGTTCTAATATTTTATATTTTCCCACTATGTTAGAAAAGTCCCTAAAAGTCATAATATTAAGCTCGTTACATAACTTCATAGGTCAAGTGGGTGTTATGGCCAACCAAAAACAAAATTATTGGCAATGTAATAATGTTTTCAATAATATATGGATGCAGGATATTTTTTATCTAGTCTACGAATAGTTCGGCATTCATCCATTATCACTTAAACCAATGCCTTAGTGATCTGGAATGCAATTTTAAATCATTTCACTTAGTCGTTTATTTGGAGATACGTTATGAGGGGAGGAGTGATATGCTCAGATGCCGAAAATTTAAACATTACATTTAAATTTTGCTTTGCATCGCCCTGATCCACCTCATATACGTTTTTGACCAAAAAGGAAACAAGTTTCATCCCCATTGAAGACACGGGTGGAATCTTATAATAGAGAAAAATATCCTATTTATTTTAAATAATTTTCTATTTGCTCAAACTATTTCCTAATATCAGATTCTGCTACATTTGCTGATGCACTTCTTACTGCTTCTGAAGTTCGATGCACTAGTATGCGATGGCGCCTCAAGAAAGCCTAATACCAGTGTTTTCCTGACATATTATCCTTAAAGGAATGAGTGTTGCGTTCAGCAGAATCTAAAAATGTTTTAACAGATGGCTGAATGTCCTCTTTTCTTCGAGGAAAATCTTTGCTATGACTTTTTATTATCCAGTTAACTGGTGATTGCTCTTCCTCTTTTGTTAGAATTGGACATGGACCTTTTTAGCAAAAAATTGGACTGTACAATTATTTACGTGTTTATAGAAGTTTGAGGTACAGAGTAAGAATAGCAGGAGCCCTAGGACTGAACCTTGTGGCACGCCAGATTTGATTTGAATGGATGTTGTTTTCTGACCTTTTACTATAGCAAACTGTGATCGTTTACTTAAGTATGTTTTTATGAAACTTATTGGAATTCTATCAAATCCATAATATTATCCCTTAGATACAAGAAGACTATGATTAATGGTATCAAACGCTTTTCTAAAATCTAGTTGAACTAGGACCCTGCAATACTGTTAAAAATATTGTCATTTAAATGTGCCAAAGCTGTTGAGGTACTGAAACCGTTTTAAAAACTCCACTGATGCAAAAGGATTATCTTGTTTTCACAAAGATATTCGTAAATTTGGAAATAGGCTACACGTTCAAGAATTTTTGAAATTAGTGGCAGTAGACTTATTGGACGCAGTTAATTGTGTGAACAAGGATTGTGCTTTTTAGATAAAGGTATTATCAAAGCTTGTCTCCAACATTCTAGGTAAAATCCTTGTTCTAAACATAAGTTTATAATATGTAGCAGATAAACATCAATAATATTTAGACACAATTTTAACATTAGCATGTTTATATTATCATTACCACCAGCATTTAAAAATCAGATTTATGAATGAGCTGTTGGAGATGTGGTAGGTACCATCGCCGGACTTCACGAATAGTAGTACCTAGAAATTTGGTCCCTCCCTCCCGTCTTTTTAGATAATATATTAATAATAAGAAATGCCAGCAATATTTAATATGCCTCTTACGACTCTAATCTTTTTTTATTGGAAGTAGTTACAAATTGATTATGCAATGTGCTAAACATAATATTTTAACAAACTTCATATTTAAAAATCCTAAGAATGTATACTTATATTATTGTTAATAACCTTTAAATTAGGAGTCTGTAGATTTCTATTTTGTTATAGAATTTTAAATAATTGCTTTTTGGCGTATTGAATATTAATAGAAAACCATTAACTAATCATGTTGACATATAATTGAAGGATTTGTTTGTAATAAGTATCATAATTATCGAAAAACATAGTTGCATCACTGGCGTTAAGTGTCAAGTCTACAATTTTAAAACTAGCAAAAGTTCATTCACATAGGTTATAAACTGTAACAGTTCTTTTAAAAATCTGGACAAAATATTAAAACTCCTACTCGTGAAATAATTACTAAACGTTTTATTGAAAGAAGTACATACTGTCTAAAACTTAAAACAAAAACAGTTTCTTAAAAATTCGAGAACTCTGTATGTAGAAACCTATAAACAAAAGATAAACGCATAATACAATAAAAAAGAAAGATAAAATTAACATTCTTTGTCTTTGTATTTTTGTTTCTTTTGCTTGGATTGAGAACAAATGTATTAAGAAAACCCTGGTTTATGTCTGAGAAAGTTAATTTAATTGGCGACTGATTTTGAAGTAGTTACTTCATCATCAGACACAACTAAATGAACAGCAATGCAGTCAATATATTGAAAAGTGAAAAATATTTAATACAAAAAATAAAAATTTAAGAAAAAATAAAACAGTCAAAAATAAGGGTTAATAATAATTGGAGTTACCATGACATATTCATTACGGATAAGCTGCATATGTTAACATAAAAAGTAAGAATGGTCACTGTTTAACGTTTAACGTCTGATAACCCTAGATCTAGTTCAATGACCGATCCTTCATCAATAAATTTCAGTAACAGCATTATAAGAATAATATACAGGGTGTCTGTGAAAGGTCTTTACAAAAACATACCACATATTCCTTAGACCAAAATAAGTCCAGAGGGCCTTGAAGTTACAATTTTTAAATCGTTTTTCCCATATAAATTTAAAACGGCATATGCGATTTTGCTGAAATTTGGTATATTGGTAGTTTTATGTGGCAAAAAAAATGGTATTAAAATTTTGTCCGATAATAATACATAGGCCTGTAGAACTTGATTTTTTAAATAATTGCACCTTTAAAAATTCTACGCCAATGGAAGAAAAGGAGTTTGAGTATGAAATTTAGATTGCGCAACTAATTTACTTTAAAAAAGGTGCTCTTGATAAGACTCGATTACTCTCATAGTTTTCGCTAAATTTCTGTTTTAATAATTTAGAGTGTATAGGTTTCACAAAAATATTTATTTACAACATAATCAAAATAGAGATTTTACAAAAATTGTTCAAAATGTTCACCATTTTCACGCATACAAAGATTTATACGTCGAAGAAAATTAAAATGTATCCTTTCCATAACTTCTTCATCACCTCTAAGATTGTTTATTGCATCTTGAATACGTTGCCAGAGTTGTTCGTCATTTTCTACAGGTTCCCTGTAAACTGTGGATTTCAGATGTCCCCATAAAAAGTAATTCATCGGTGTTAGGTCTGGGGAACGTGGTGGCCAGTTTACAGGTGCGTCATTACCTCTGCCTATCCATTTGTGTGGATATTGTTCATTCAAGTGGTTTCTAACGTTTAAAAAAAATGTGGTGGAGCTCCATCTTGCATAAACCACATATCTCTCCAAAGTTGGAGAGGTAACTCTTCTAACAATTCTGGCAACGTATTTTGTAGAAAATACAAAAAATTTTCTCCAGTTAATCTTCGTGGAAGTATGACAGGACCAACAATGAAATTACCAATTATTCCAGCCTACACATTTATTTTGAATTCGTGCTGAAAATGGTTTACCTGTATTGCATGCGGATTTTCAACGGCATAAACATGTTCATTATGGGTATTAGTTATACCTCTTCTTGTAAAACCCGCTTCATCGGTAAAGAGAACCTTCTTGACAAAGTTTGGATCTTTTTCTCTTTGCATATTAACAAATCGACAAAACCCCAAACGAATTTGAGGATCATGGACTAATAATTCTTGTACTGGCTTCTTATGGTATGGATATAGCAACTGTTCTCTAAGCACTTTATGAACGACATCTTTACTTACTCCTAGTTCCCTTCCAATTCGTCTGGTGCTTAATTCTGGATCTTCTTCAACACATTCTAAAATGTCTTCTTCAACTTCAGGAATCCTTACAAAACGTTCTTTTCATTATCAACAGTGTTGAAAGCAAAGGAACCGGTCTCCCGAAGACGTCTCTCAACAGCAGCAAAAGTTGGGTGGCTAGGTACACGATGATTTGGAAACCTTTCAGAGTACACCCTGACACTCTTTCGAGCATATTTCCTTCACAAAATCCTAATGTCAGTAACATATCGGTATATTCTGCATTGGTATATTGTACAGCCATATTAATAAACCACGCATTTGTTTGTTTAATTATTGAGTGAGACAGAACACTTTCAATCGTTAACAAGAGGTTAGGTGTTAAAACTTGACAATGTTTTTATTTAGATGAAACTATGGAAACCAACAATAAATGTTTTTGTATACGTATTGCAGGCAAATAATTAATATTCCTCAAAAAATCGTACATGGCAAGAATCAAGAATTTTGGTTAAAAGTAAGGTAATTTTACTTAAATAGAGTTATTTTGGTCTAAGGAATATGTGGTATGTTTTTGTAAAGACCTTTTACAGACACCCTGTATATTTCTTTGGAATTTGGAACGCCTATGTCATGTCAGCTCCTTGTATACTAGTATATACCT